TGCACATATCGATTCAACGGAGCGCAACTGAAATCGATCTCTTTCTCTGCGACGACAACCGCTGATGACTGCGGTGGAGATGGTGGCCGCGATTGCGACACGACGCTACTGATGCTGCTGCTACTACTGCATTGATCACTATCGTCATTAGAGCAACGATCGTACGTGAGAAGGCAAACCAGACCAAATGATATGATCAATGCAAATATCGCCGAGAATGCCATCGCTAGCCATACGAAAGGAAGATTATGTGCACCAACCGCCACGATAGATGCGGCGCGAAAATATTCGTCGAGTGTAACATCCCGCTATTCCGAGGCATAAAGAAGGAAATTTTTCTTCCAAAATCTAATTGCCGTAAAGATTTCCACTTAATGGATAACTGAATCGAGAAAAGAAACAAGGTCGTCAGGCACGCACCTTTCTTTGTCACTGTTTTTGGCTAACCAACAGGTCACGAATTATCTGTATCCCACATCTCAAGCGCCTTCTATATTCGTCGGAACCTGTAACAATAATATTTTAATACCCTACTCTCTCCAATGACGCACTTATGCGCATATAGTATATGTACATATACTACACTTTTGAAATTGCACCACACTCACTTATTTAACACCCTATATAACCGATATTTTTATATAATATCTCGCGTAATACCTTTTCTTATATATATATATATATATATATATATATATAACCAGTATATTGTATCCTATTATATGAAGTAATACACTTCATCTACGATATATACATATATATACATCTAACCTAATAATTCATTACTTTAAAAATATTTGATGGCGACCTTCTAAACTGCAAAACAATTGCAGAAAGGCCTGGAAGACAGTAATAAGTCATATATAATTTACAGCTTCATTTTCAATATATTTAATGGATAGACTAATGATATATATATATATATATATATACCTAATTGTACCATAGCTATTGAGTACAGAGACTTAATTTAACCACTTACCATCTTACCTAATAAGCCATTGTTATAATACAATTTATCAACGTCAAATCCTAGTATATTACTAGCTTAGCAGACCTATGCTTAAACTTGTCGACGAAAAGCAAATAAGGATAAAATAATGATTAATAACCGCGATACACTAAAATTTTAAAGGTTTAAACCCACCTGTGCAACAAAAAGGCGTAACAAACTCATTCATAGTCCCTGAAGCAGTATACCGCGGTAGCCTTAAGGCACGTCGCGCCACCGTCGTCTCGCGGCCACCGAGCGTACCCACTCGCGCTCCTCCTTACCGACTCGATCAAAATTGTTGCTGAAAAATATTAATTTAGAAGATTATTGTTTGCGCACAAAGAATCCCCGAGCAATAACCTCTAGACCGACATAACCGCCATAGTTACCTCGTCCTTCATGTTATCACTAATACTTCAATCGTTTTTTTCACATGATCACCCACACAATAGATATATATATATACTAATAATTAATCCCCCATTAAGAAAAGTCATCAGTAACAGTAATTGACAAATTCCTGCTACTAAAAACTTAAACGAATAGACAAAATCAACCTCCACCGTGTAACGCAAGCCACGGACTACTCCATCACCTTTCTCGCTATCTCCTCGATAAGATAAACTGTGTATTCCTATACCATGACTAATCCAAGCAGAGATCGTTATTCATATCTCCTCACCGTAAATAACTAACACCTTTTACCCACCTCTTTCTTACTAATACTTTGCTTTTCAAATACTATCTAATAACCCTAGAGAAATAGGAAAAATTTTAGAAAAAGGAGAAAGAAAGGAGGGGGTGTAACAAGTAGTAACGCAAATTTAATTGAAAATAATTATACTGTATAAAAAATCCTTGTACAGGCATTACAATATTAACACATAACGCCTATACGTGTCGATCTTGGCATTATGCTCGCTTCCTGTAACGAACAAAATAATTACCAATTAAATATTGTGCTTTTAATCGGGACAAGTTTTATTTACCCGAACAAATTTTTAAGACCGTAGGCATCAGGGTCAGGGCTCAAATCCAAACCACCGTATATCCAAAAGTCGGCTGCCTCTCTCCTCCTCCATCTCCTTTTCCAACGCACTTCCGTCATATCGCGGATAGACAGCAGACCAGGAATCTGGATATTTGTCTTTACGGTCACATCCCCATTGCAGAAGCACTGTAGTAACATACCTTAGTAGTATAACCAAATATCCTAATGTGCATCCAATTGAGCTTACATCCATGCATGCAACACCCTGACATATACTCACTATTATCGCCGGCACCGGTCGGAAGTACCTTCGCCGAGGAAAACGTTGACGGAAGGGATACATATTTTCTCCTCTTTCTTTCTTACATACACGACTGATCATTCGCAACTGACAGCTGACTTATGAGCACACAAAATGGAGACCGACAAGTAACCAACCTCGAAATAGCTAAACACCCTCCCTCAGATAACTACTACCACCTATATGTACTAACGCCGAGCAAATATCCCCGCATGGAACTAGCACCTAGGATTGGACAACAGGCATGAACGTAGCATAAACCTAGAATCACCACTCCCCTATCAAGCATATCCCTATATAAAATAGGATTCAGAATTGGACAAAAATTTCAATAGAGTAATACCCAATTAAAAGTACGCAATAAAAACAACGATATTAACAAATCACACACCTCTAACGCTCCATATTACATAAAAATATCACTGAAAATAAAAATTCCAAAATCAGTGCAAAATAAGGAAAATTATTTTTCTTTGGTCTTAAAAACTTCAGGAACAATATTGATATCATCCCTGGAGCATGAAAATGACGAAATTATAAATAAATAAAATAATTTTGCAAACAAATTTTGAATTTTCACTATCGATAAAATTACAGCGGGAACTCTTAATATGGTACCCTCGAACTCGAAAATTAGGTAGCTGCAATATTTTAATTTGTTAATTTAAACAATCAGACAAATAACAATCAAATCACCGCGGATTCACATTACCATGAAGACATCAGAGTGTACTCATAAAGAAAGAGAAATAACGTTTTAGTTATTATTTAAAATTTGAGGTTATTGTTTATAACAATTATAACAAATAACAGATGCTCATTATAATAAGCCCACATCTTTGCACGCCTGATTTGCCTGTTTGAACAGTTGCCCAAGGAGGAGCGCTTTGCTAAAATTCATCAACTGAAAGCGAGTTTGAATGACGCCGAGATTTGCATGTGTCTGGGTCGTCGACGCGGCAAACGAGAACTTATACGCTTGCTGTGCTATGGGGCCAATCTCAACATAGAACGCATGCGGTTCAATGTGGCGAACATGATTGTGGCCTATGGCGTAATAGATTCCTCAACGATGCAGAAACAGGCTACCGATGGAATCATGCTGCGAAACTTGGACGAGTGGTACGAATATCCGAATACGTTCGAAGCATGTGCCTGGAACAACGTATCGGCCGATGTTATAAACGGTATGTTGTGTGACAATCAACCGGTGGTGGATGGAAAAGCCTGCCGTTGCTGCGTCTCTATGATGATTCGAATCTGCAACGGCGGAGGTGCGTCGCCGACATTACGTTCTCTAGAATCAACCGCCGCAGTCACAACGACGACGGTCGACGGAAGAGAAACCGTCGTCTCTCAAGCGCGTTCTAGATCTGGGATTGTCAAATCCAGGAGTCGCGGTGACGGCGCTCAAAAGAATGCCGTGGTGACGAATGAGAAGACGACGACGACGACAAATACGAACGACTCAAAGCGCAAGAGAGCCGGCAATCGCGAACCGAAAGCGAAACGCGCGAAAGATGATACGAACGGATCAGCAGCAGCGGCAGCGGCAGCAGCAGCAGCAGCAGCAGCAATAACAGCACTTACAACAAACGGAACAATAGCAACACCATCTACTATGAGCGGAGCAACAGCAGCAACGACACTTGCGAACAACGAAGTACACGAGAAAATGGCGGCGTTAGTAACGACAAAGCCATCATCGATTAATCAAAGTCGCGGAGTTGCTGGCAAAGACATGTCACTCATAACCAACTTGAACATGTCCAGCAGTGATGAGGAGGAAGAGGACGACGGCGATAACGGCGAGGGCGAAAATGTGCTCGACTACGTCAGCGGCAGCAGCAGCAGCAGCAGTTCGGAGAATGAAACACCACTGCCACCACTGCCACCAACACTATCAATACCACCACCACCGTCTTCTCATACCTCGCCTGACACGGAGGAAGCAGGTCACCGAAGAGTAATCGATCCTAAGTTGAAAAAGAAGTAACCGAGGGTTCGTATGTGCGTTCGCTAGTACCAGGTCAATTGTACGAAATCATCGTGGAATCGTTGACGCGACCGGACGCAGACTTTACCATTATTGCGCGACAGACGCAATGTCTATCGCGCCATCATCCGTATAGTGTGTACGCTTCCACCCACCGACTCGAACGATGATGAGGCCTTTCAACGATGCGATTTTTTCAATATGGAAGATTCACCCTACTTGTATTATGTTGACGAGTCAGTGGACGTAGTGGTGCGCAACAGACGCTATACGACGATACACGCAATCAATCGTCGACACGATTGCGCGCCTCTTTGTCAGCACGAACGAGATATCGTAAAAATTGTTTCGCGCCTTGTACGAGCTATTGTATTTCGCGAATTTCGCGAACATTAAGAAAAAATAAAAAAAACATCAATCGAAAAGCCTTCGAAAAGTCAGTTTCTTCCAATTCGTTGTCCAATCCCTCAATCGTCGTTAAGCGAAACGCTGACCGCTTGCGATGCATCATCGATTTCGCGAACTCTTGGCGCTGATTGCAATTGTGCTCTTGCTGTATTTTGTGCGACGCGCGTACATATCTGTATACGTCGAGCCCGAAAGAGCGACGATTGCGCATAATTTGGACGTGTTGTACGATCCACTGGTCGAAGCGAACAATGGTGCGATTTCGAACGACGACGTACAGCGGGAACGATTTCTTCGTTTGACAAGACAAATGGGCACGGGGATAGATTCTCTTCCCGCGGAACACTTCGAATCGGTGGAAGGACGAAGAGGTGCTGGTGGTCTTGACGACGAGGAAGACGAAGAAGACCAAGACGATCACGCGAGACAACGCGATTGCTTGACCGTCGGTGCTTTCATATCACCGTACGATGAATACATAGATTGTCGCAAATTTTGCAAGGTGAGCGACGGCGTAGACTATCGTTATTACGATCGGGTGGGCCTGATTCTGAACGATCGTCGCAGCCGGCCCGGAGCATACTGCATGCCAAATGATGCGGCGGTTTGTAACACCAATCATCTCTCGCCCTTTATAGCAAGCATGGCTGGCGATGTATGCCGCAAACACGCGCATTTGCCGGCGAAGGCACCAATCTTATAACGGTGTGCAACGGTGCACTGCTAGATCGCGTAACCGGCAAGAACTGGCATCAGCACATCGATCCATCACTGACCTTCGAATCAATAGACGAACGATTGCCGAGCGGAGAATATCGTTTCGTGTGCGCGGAAATGGAACTCGACGATCGCGAGAACAAAACCATCGAAGCGCCGATCGACCGCTTGATAGTTCTGCCGAACGCTTGCGCCTCACTCATTCCGTACTCAGACCCGGCGATCAAGCCCGACTTTGAAACCGGCCGCTGCTTTTGCGGAGAGAGAGCCTCGTACGACGATGTGACCGGTCGTGCGTACCAAACGTCGTCTCGAAAATTACCGATGCGTTCGACCCGCGCACCATGGAAACGAGGCTGCGTACCGGATACGCGGCCGGTGCAACCTATGAATTTAGAAGATATCTCAAGACTAAACTAATATTTTCTTGGAAATAAATTGAAATGGCCCTCATTGGTTACAAATATAATTCTCACAAATATAATTTTCGTCACATTAAACTAAATATTTCTTTTTCTCTCAGGCTGTACTTCGCAAATGGAGAAAACAACGTCCTTCAAATGTTCCAAAAACAGTGCTTTCAATGACTATGACATTACCTTTATTACTACCAGAAATGTTTCAAGAAGCTTTACATATTATACAGACTGAAGCTGGTAAACTTTCTAATGAGTATCCAGATATTTTACAATTTATGTCATATCTAAGACTTAACTGGTCAAAAATGGTGTCAAGAATCAGTACTTATTGTTGTCCTGTGCGCACTAACAACATAGTAGAAAGTTTCCATAATATTGCTACACAGAAATTGGGTACGATGAATATTAATATTTGGGTTTTTCTAGGTAACATTTTTATCTACATTTTCTTTTCCTATTAAAACCTGAAATTCTGTAATATATATGCGACTATATTATCAATATTTACAATTGTATAAAAGACGTGATTTTCGAAAGCTACTCTTCTTTACTTTCTATTATCGCTTCCTCCTCTTATCGCTTCAACTTAACCGATAGTCTATGCAAATGACATTCACGCCACTCAACTTCAGTTAACATTACATATCAGACATTAATATCAGATCGTTAATGTTACATTTATGAAGCTAGCTGGAGCGGCAAAGCGAAATAAGAAGATATAACCTTCGAAAATCATCTCGTTTATGTATGTAATGTATGTATGTAATTCAGAATATTGTAAGAAATAAGATAAACAAAGGAGGGTATGACTTTTAAGGGATTGGGGACCGCTACCTGAACGTAAATTTCCTACTTTCTCTTTCGTATTTTTCCCGTAGAATTATAAAATCAACCTTAAAATTACATCTAATAAAAGGAAAAATAGTTATAGACATTTAAACGTTGATTTTCCTTGAAAATCATACATTTTCCAACACTGCCACTTTAAATAACTTTGACCTTTTTGAAGGTGTTAAATCTTACGTTACACAGGAGACTTATTTTCTAAACAATTGATAATGATATGAAAACATACTTTAAACTATACTTTAATTGACTACTGCTTTTTTCAGCTGCTTAGAGTATATTTTCATATCATTATCAACTTTTGAGAAAATAATTTTCCTATGTAACGTAAGATTTAACATCTCTAAAAAGTCAAAGGTATTTAAGATTGCAGTGTTGGAAAATATATGATTTTCAGGGAAAATCAACGTTTAAATGTCTATAACTATTTTCCCTTTACTTGGCGTAATTTTAAGGACGATTTTATAATTCTACGGGAAAAAATACGAAAAAAAAAGGAAATTCGCGTTCACTAGCGATCCCCAAATCCCCTTAAAGTTATATCCTACTTAAACATTATACGTGATGTAAAATATATAGGATGAATACATTGTTATCAAGATATCTTTTTAATTCTCTTTATATCTTACATTGTTTTTTCTTCTTTTCAGAGAAGTTATCACATTTAATTCCTGACCAGGAATTAGATTTACGTCGCTTAGAAAATGGTATTAAACCTCGACGACCTCGCACAGGGGCAAATAGAGAAAATGATTCTAAAATGAGACATGCGCAAGAGGATTTAGTTAATGAAAGGTATTTATTTATTATTTTATATATTTTATACACTTATTATTTTTATATAATATTAAGTAACAAATATGTTAAAACTTTAATTTTATAAGGTTGTCGTTAAAAGAATTTCTACTAATGTTTACCATGCACAATAACTTTGAAATTGAAAAAATGGCATCATTTGAAGGTAAATATATATACTGTGTAAAATATTTTATATTTATTTTGTTTGTAATATTCAAAATATATTATACAATTGATATATAAAGTAATGGATATTATATTGATATGGTAACGATTAATTTATTGACCCTTTGATGGTTACAATTATAAAATCATTATATTAATTACTAATTTTATTACCGGAATATTTATTCCGCAAATATATACTTTTTTCAGACGCAGAATTAACATGTGATCTTGAAATAACTAGTGATGAAAATGCAAATATGGAGTTGTTTTCAGAAGATATAGGCGATTTCTTACAAACAGGTAAAATGTACTATTACAACTTGAAATCATCATAATTGTAAAATAAATTGTATCATATGCCCGTATTCATAGTCTGACCTTATGTTTAAGGTTTCCTTAAGTTTATCTTCAGATAATCTGTAGCCAATGTAATGATCCATGCATCATTAAGATTGTCTTAAAATATTTACTTTTTTGCTTCAGGAAAGCTAAATATAAGATGCAGATCTCGACGCGTACATCGCAACTCACGTTGTCAAAGAGAGGAAAATATTTCTACAACAAATTCAGGTAATAATAAATATTTTATCTCATTTCACAACTAACCGAAAGTTTCTTTCCATATATTTTAAAAGCGTAATACATGGATATATAAGGTGTCCCATTTTAGGGGACACATTAAAATATCTTAGAAACGCTGCGTTAAATCGAAAAATGTTTCAGACTAATAATTTTGAAATTTCCAGAGATCGATAAGTTAATAAAAGTTAAGGCACTATTATAGTAATATAATGTTGATAATAAATAAAGTAGAAAAGTCTAATATTATTTTTTCTTTTGACGAATCATTTGCGAGATATCATAAGTTAAATGTTGAAAAAGTTACCAAGTTTTCCTTAAATATCTCAACAAATATTAAGCAAAAAAAAATTTTTCAGATAAAAGTTCAAATTAATTTGTGGAAAAAGATGGTATAATAAAAAGTTGGTATTTCCGTTTAAGAAAATTGATGATCAATTAATATCTCGAAAGTGGCGTTATCTATATACAAAATACTATCGCTGTCTTATGTCCTTCTTCAAGCCAAACAACTTTTATCTGAAACATTTTTCGATTTAACGCAGTATTTCTAAGATATTTGAAGGGAACCTTTAAAATGGAACACCCTGTATACAGGGTGGCTCACGTAAAGTGTTAAGTCCATAATTTTAAAAATATTTATCAAATCAATAAATTGTTCATAAGGAAGTTTCATGCATTCGAGAGACCTCTCTAACTACATAAACGTAAAGACGGGGGTAACTTGATAATTTTAAATGGAAGCGCCTATAAAATGTCATATATTTGGGTTCTACGGGAAAAAACAAGTAAATTTTATCTGAACCTTTGTTTGGGAAATGCTTCTATCAAAAGTAATAATATTTAAACCTTTAACAATTTCATTCATGATTGAACTCTATTGATACAAAGTTGCGTTCGCGATACAACAAAAACAAAAAACAAAAACAAAAAAGACCTTAGAGTATATACTTGATGTTAACCAAAAGAAACATAAATAAACACATTTCGGGAAACGGATCTGTGATCTACGTGATATTTACGTTTCCCGACAAATGTGTTTATTTGTTTCTTCTAGTTAACATCAGGCATGTACTCTAAGATCTTTTTTGTTTTTGTTGTATCGCAAACACAACTTTGTATCAATGAAGTTCAATCATGAATGAAATTGCTAAAGGTTTAAATGATTACAACTTTTAATAGAAGCATTTTCCAAACAAATGTTTCAGATAAAATTTACTTGCTTTTTCCCGTAGAAATCAAATATACAACATTTTATAGGGAGTACTATTTAAAATTATCAAGTTACCCCTGTCTCCTCTTAAAGGAGAAACGGGGCCGACTTTACGTTTATGTAGTTACAGAGGCTTCTCGAATACATGAAACTTCCTTATGAACAACTTTTTATTTGATAAATAATTTTTAAGTTATGGACCTGTAATACTTAACCACTCTGTATTATATATGTACACGGTGGAGGATTATAAGTTTACAACCCGAAGTATGAAAGTAGATTGGGTTAAGACAAACATAAAAGTTCCATACCGTTTTGCAAGATTCGCAATAATTATCGAGTTATTAATGACAGAAATCTGAGGAGTGAGAGCGCGCCGACATAGATGATTGGAGAAGCGTTGCAGCTACTCAGGCAACAGCGCGGCCCACTCGACCCATCAACTATTGGTGGCGTGCGGCGAGACGTAGGTCCGGCGAGATAATACAACGAATAGCGGCGCATTGTCTTTCCTCTCGCTGCGCACTGCAAGAGTTGCTGGATCGACTGGGCCGCGCTGCGGCTTAAGCAGGTGCAACGCTTCTCCAATCATCTATGCCGGCGCGCTCCCACTCCTCAGATTTCTGTCATTAATAACTCGATAATTATTGCGAATCTCGCAAAACAGTATGGGACTTTTATGTTTGTCTTAACTCAATCTACCTTCACACTTCGGGATGTAAACTTATAACCTCCCACCCTGTATATATATACAGGATGTTTGATAGCTGATCATGCAGACGAAAGTTGGAGATAGATTGGGTGTAGCCGAGAAGAAAAGTCATGTACCATAATGTCAAATTGGCAATAGTTAACGAGTTATTAATTAAAACATGTGAGCCAACGAACGCGTAGAGAGCGGAGGGCGGACGCAGTAAGCACGTAGACATTTGATATAGGCGGAATCAACGAGTGACGATAGGCAAGCGCGCGTGGCGTGGGGCAACATAAACGACAAGAACGAGCTTTTCCTTTATAGCTTTTTCCTTATAGCTCGCTCGCTCTTTATCACGCTCGCTCGCCTCTTATCGCTTGCGCTCGCTCGCTCCTCGTCGCACGCGCTCGCCTCTTGTCGTTTACGTTGCCCCTCGCCGCGCGCGCTTGCCTATCGCCACTCGCTGACTCCGCCTGTATTAAATGTCTACGTGCTTACTGCGGCCGCCCTCCGCTCTCTACGCGCTTGTTAGCTCACATATTTTAATTAATAACTCGGTAACTATTGCCAATTTGACATGGTACATGACTTTTCTTCTCGGCTACTCCCAATCTATCTCCAACCTTCGTCTGCATGATAAGCTTTCAAACACCCTGTATACAATACTTTGACATTTAATGCATAAAGTGAAAACAATTATTTGTTTCCAGATAATGATAGAGAAAATGTTCTACACTGCGACGTATCTTTTGAAGCGCCGACAAACCGGCGTCGGTCCGTGCGCCGCGGTCTTGCACCAACCAAGTGTTGGGCGCCAGGTGCAGCGAGCTGTACCACTCACCAACGACGAAGCTTACTCACGGCGCGCGAATCCATCGGTTCCGGTAGCTCGAGATTAATTCGAATCGGCAGACGGGAAGGGTTCGTCGGAAATCGGGAAAACGAGAAGGCGGGAAAGAATTAGAACGGCGCGACTTCTATGAAAATTCGCTTTATTCTGGTCGGAAGCCGGTACGTTCCGAATCTTCGCGGGACGGTATAGTTTCTCTCTGCCCGCTTACTCGCAAGTTCGCTACCGCTCGGCGCAACAAAATCAACTTTCTGATGATACACGCAAACGCACGGAACACCAAAAACAAGCAGGCGGACGGTCTTACAATTACGGGCATCTCTCGGCGGCGTGGTCCTCGATGGTCGACGGGTCGGTCAGCCCGGTCGCGCGTCCAGCGGCAGCTCGGCTTCTCCGCGGCCTTGGCCTTCGGTCCGTCACGGCCCTCCTCTGCTTTCCGGTACTCTTGGGAGCTCTCGGGAACTCTCACTCGATTTCCTCTCTCTAGCGAGCGGCACACAAATCTTTATCTCTCTTACGAGCGGCACACAAATATTTGTCTCTTACGAGCGGTACACCAATCTTTATCTCTTACGAGCGGTAATTCAATCTTATTGGTTCTAGGCCAAAAACGAATCTGAATCTTTTCTTCGAGGCGAAAAACTTATCTCGTCATCGAGAGAGAAAAACGGATCTTCCCGTCTCTCATTTTTTATCCCTGTTATTCCTTTCTTTCTTTTTCGTCCGGGAATCCTTCCGCGAATTCTGTTGACATCCGCGGAACGGATTCCTTGTCTCGCTCGCTCTCTCTCGGTCTCTCGCTCTCTCTCTCTCTCTCTCTCTCTCTCGCTCACGGCGTCTCGCGAGCGTGGCTCTTTGTCCGTCTAGCCGTTGTCTTTGGCTAGCGACCCATGCGTCGAGAACGTGTTCAACGGTATATTGCTGCCTCATCCGTGTTGTCGTGTTAGCCTGCGGAATAATATACGGCAGCGGTAATCATTGCGGAATAACGATAAACTTTCGGCGACGAGACGAGAAAAGAGCGCATTCACCTGAGCTGGCCGCGCCGGGCGGTGAGCGACGTCCTCGGCATCCTCCCTGGTCTTCCTGTCCGGGTTGCCGGCTCGGGAGGTCCATGGGCACAAATCTTGGGGGCGCGGGACCGTCGCACCTGCACGCTCCTAATTCTTAGGGCTAATTACTTGAGGGGGGATAATTCGGCTTCCCCCTCGCGCGATTCTCGCTTACGGACCGAGGGTTTTTTTCCTTGTGACGGGCGCACCCACGGCCGCCACGTCACAACACATACAAACGATGACACATGAAGAAACAAATGTTATTGCTGACTCGGATAATGTTATCGAGGAATAAGGTAATGCTTGTTGCGAATAGCTCCAAGGTTTAGTGAACACGGTGTGTGATTAGTCTCGAAACGAAAAGTTATTATATACTAATGCACTTGCCCCAGTGTTACCAATGATGATACAGTTGTATCTGATTCAGCACAATTCATGGTCAGTGGTACACAGACAAGTTTTTCTGATATTTTCGGAATTTTTTTAGCACAAAAGAAAGAAAGAGTTGATTCAATGTATACTTTTTTATATAAAGAGTCTTAAGTCTTAGTTCCTATGATCTACGTATTGTGTTCTACGCGTAAAAATATTTTAATTAATGTTCGATGTATATAGCAATACCTACAAAATTAATTTTCTTTCCATTATGGATGATGAAACAATATATGAGTTACCAGACAATGAATATTTGTATATAGATGACGACGATGCCAGCGGAGAAGACCTGCCCTACCATAGGGTAAATTGGAATCTCGAAAATAAACCAACCAATTCAAAAGAAGCTTCCGTAGACATTTGTACGGTGTGTCTTGCAAACGAGCGAACGCACGCCTTCATACCGTGTGGTCATCTAGCGTGTTGTCTTGAATGTATCGAATTTCTTCAAAGCGATCGATGTCCAATATGTAACTTGACATATACTAGCTATGTAAAAATTATAAAACCATGAAACGTGAAATTGTGAAAATAATGAGAGGATTATTCTTTTAAATAATTTAAACTAGAAAACAGACTAAGTTTTGCAA